GGACCCTTATCTTATTTTTTGGGCATTGAGTGTGCTCGATCTGCGGAGGGTATTGTTCTATGTCAACGGAAATATGCACTAGACATTCTTCATGAAGCTGGTCTCTTGGGCTGCAAACCAGCCGACACACCCATTACGCCGAATCACGGGCTGGGTAGGTCGACTAGTGCCGAGCTTCATGACCCGGCGCAGTATCGGCGACTTGTGGGTCGCTTAATTTATCTCACGATCACGCGTCCGGATCTCACCTATTCCGTTCATGTTCTGTCTCAATTTATGCATGCGCCTCGCCTTGATCATATGGAAGCTGCAAAACGAGTCCTTCGCTACTTGAAGGGTCATCCAGGACAGGGTATTCTCTTACGTAGTGACAGCTCACTACAGCTATCTGCTTATAGTGACTCCGACTGGGCATCTTGTCCTCTTACTCGTCGCTCTGTGAGCGGCTACTTTATCCTTCTAGGTGGCTCGCCAGTTTCTTAGAAAACAAAGAAACAAACCACCGTGTCCCGTTCATCAGCAGAAGCTGAATATCGTGCCATGGCTAACGCATGTGCAGAGGTACGATGGATCCGCGGTCTTCTTGGGGCACTCGGCATTACTCCACCGACAACGCCACGTTTGTTTTGTGATAACAAGTCCGCTTTGTTTATTGTTGCCAATCCTGTTTTTCATGAACGCATGAAACATATTGATATTGATTGCCACATTGTCCGTGAATGCGTTCAGCGCGGTGAGATCGCCACCGCATATGTTCCTACCTGTCTACAAATTGCTGATTTGTTCACTAAGGCTTTGAACAGGCCTCTCTTCGAGTTCTTATTGTCCAAGTTGGGCATTCGTGATCTCCATGCTCCAACTTGAGGGGGAGTGTTAGCATATATATTTATTTACTACCATATATGTAATTAGTTTCCTTGTTAGTAGTGTAATTAGTTTCCTTGTTAGTAGTCCTTTCCATACTTGGAGTAGGACTTGGCACATGTATATATACGTTGTGAATATTGAATGAAAGACAGTTCAGTTTTTCCAAAATTCTACACACTGTTCATCGTCTTCTACCTCGCGACTCCAATTTCGAAAATTCCATTTTTAGTTTCCAAACTTCAATTAAACTATATAGAAATGTTCTCCAGGTTGCATAGATTATTTTGGAATCCTTAGTTCATTGTTTTAACATCAAATTCATGGTTTATGATTCTTGGTTCTTCAAGCATGTCAAACACAAAACTCAACCAAACGACCGTTTATGAACGTAGAAACGATCTATACGAATATTCTAGTCACTAGATATATCTACAGGCTTACCTCGAAGCTTAATGGAGGTTTTGAAGATTTTCCAACGAAACTTCTGGCGACTATATATCTCCCAACTCTGGCGACCTCTCACCAAATTGACAACACCATAACACTCCTCACACTCTCAAGAACAGAATGTTATTAAACTTATTGAGTTTTGGTGAAGAATGGGGGGTTTATATAGTGAGGTGAATAGAGAAGGAGACATGGAGGATGACACCAATTCTCCTGTTTTGGCGTCTCAGCAGAGAGGACGGCTGATTCCTGCGATTCCAAACGCAAGTCCCTGATTGGGACCAATTTTGGTTCCAATTGGGGTACACTTTTTTATCCAACTTTCTCCGAATTGAAATCCGTTTGCACCGTTGCGATCGTGCAGTTAAACTCTATCCGAAGATATAATTTTCATATTTATTTGTAATACTTTTTCCGAAATCATATTTTTGGGTGGTTGACTTTGACAGAGTCAAAATTGGTTTATTTGACCTTTTATTCAAAAAGATTCTCACATTTAATTCACATCATTTGTTCTCGTGATTTATTTCAATAAATCATTACAGAGTTCGCATCATAATTAATTTCTTCATTTATTCTTGATTTGGGTCTGTACTCAGGTTCCCAATCAAGACCACACAAATAGTCAACATATTGGATTTATCTCTTTGAGACTTTATCCATATTTTGATATTGGATATTGAAACATATTTCATATCGGCCCAAAGCCCAACAATAATTTATTTTAATCAAAACAAGTTTGATTAATAATTCTAGGGTATGTTTTGGGGAGTTATAGGGCTGGTTCAAATCTTTGTGCACTGTTAACTGCTTGGGAAGGATTTACACTCTGAGTAGATTTTTCCTTCTTGTGGAAGTGAGAGCTATTCGGACCGCTAAAATTCTTCTTGGACCCAGAAGGTGAAGGTGATTTTGTAGGGTGTGAGACAATTGTTGGGGCTGACCTCGCTCTTCCTGATGGCATAGTTGTCGATGTCTCCTTTTCATTGACCTTCTCGATTCTATTAAGAAAAAGTTGAGAATTTTGGGCATGGGCCCACACAATTTTGAAGTCATCGGTGTTGGCAGTTCCCATCAATGCCATTAACTTAGGGTTCATTCCTAACATGAACTTAGTGCATTCTTGTTTTGGTGTTGCCACTAATTCTGGCCCATAACATTTCAACTTAGTGTGCATGTGATTATAAGCATCGAGGGTCATTGGACCCTGTCGCAGGTCTATAAATTCCTGTCTTTGGGCTTCAATATACCAAGGTGGTATATATTTTGTTTTGAATTCCTCCTCGAAGAATTCCCAGGTTACAGGATCTGGCTTTCCAGGTACGCTGCTCCACCAGTAGTATGCATCATCTTGTAGTAGGGCTAAGGTCAAACGTACTCAATGCTCCTCCGGCACCAACATGTCGGTATGTACACGCATGATCCGATCTAACCAAAACTCTTCCTTTTCACCTTCATCAGACTCCGCCCCTAAGAATTCTTTTACCCCATTTTTCTTCAAACTGTCAACCGTTTATGACGTAAAAGTCACATCGTATCTTGAAAGATATAGTTCTTGTAATTTTTTGATAAATTATGTGTTTATTTAGCAAAAAAAGACATCCTTGATTGGCATATCATTGGTAATATAAAATACTCCCTCCGTCCCCCAGTTTTTGTCCACTTTCATTTTTGCACACCATCCAATGCACTTCTTTAACCCATTTTATCTTATAATTTGTATATTAAAAAATTATAGAAATTATATATTAATAATCTATATGTTAAGACAAATCAAACAAAATCACACATGACTATATTTAGGCTTACACATTGAGAGAATTTGATGAGTCAAAGTGCTTAGATAAACAGTTCCAAAAGTCAAAAGTGGACAAAAACTAGGAGACGGAGGTAGTATGTAGTATGCTCTAAAAGCTCTCTCTTTTATTGTTTGTATTATTTGAAATGAAAGATGTAATAATATTTATAATTGTATGAGCGTACATATGCACATTTTTTTTTATGTTGAACAATGTTACATATCAAATTTATTACTATCTACTATCTCCGTCCCAATGTATTTGCCCACTTTTACTTTTTCGAGTCAAACTACACAAACTTTGAACTCTAATTACTCTCCATTTATATTGCATATTAGCATAATGAAATACAATTTTGAAAGTTCTCAATACGATAAATCCAATATAATCATTTTTACATTAAAATACATTACAGTTTTTATTTAATTAGAGCTCAAAGTTTATCGAGTTTAACTCAAAAAAGTAAAACTGGACAAATATACTGGGACGGAGGGAGTATATTTTAAGATATTATACTCCCTCCGTCCCAAAAAGATTTACACATTTCAAAAAAATTGTGTCCCACAATTCCTTACCTATTTCTGTTAAAAAACCACTTTTACCCCTTACTTTTTCAAACCCTATCTATCATATCATACCTTTTTCCTAATAATCTACACATCACATCCTACTTTTACCCATCACATCAAGGGTATTTTTGGAAAGTCAACACAAAATTATCTCTCCCTTAATTTCAACTTTAGTCAAAATGGGTAACACTTTATGGGACGGACGGAGGGAGTATAATTTAAAACTAATTACCAATAATTTAAAACATTTGTAATAATCTTGATTTGAAGATTCATACCACTAGTTGTTACTCCTTCCGTCCTGAAAAACATGGGAGTTTTGATTTGGAAGAGGGATTTAAAGGGAGTGTATTTTGGTATTCAATTTCCAAAAATGTCCTTTGATGTGATGGGTAAAAATATGATTTGATGGATAGATTATTAGTAAAAAGGTATGATGTGATAGGTAGGGTATGAAAAAGTAAGGGGTAAAAGTAACTTTTTAATAGAAATGAGAAGTGTTTTTTGGGACGGATGAAAAAAGAAAGGAGAAAGGTTTTTAGGGACGGAGGAAGTATACAACAACAACAACAACCCAGTTAAATCCCACAAGAGTAGGGTCTGGGGAGGGTGTGTGTACGCAGACCTTGCCCCTACTTGAAAGTAGAGAGACTGTTTCCAAAGAGACCCCCAGCTCAACATCGAAAGTTGCATTGCTTGACTAACTGCTACTTCATTAATTAAAGAAGCGCAGATAGTTTAGAGATCCATTTTGATTTATTCCATCACACCCCAAAACCAAAAAATGGTGAAATTTTGGCTCCATCGGAGATGATGGAAATGGACGGAGGAAGTATATTAGTGTGTAAAAGTTATGTTTTTAAGGTATGCTTTATCATGTTTTTTTGTGTCATTATCTACGGTGTTCTCCTGCTTTGCTGTGCATTGAAACGGAATCTTTAAAAAAATACTCTTTTAAATCGGTTCTTTGGAAACAACCGATTCAAAAAGCGCCTCTCAAAATAGGGAACAAGTAGATTCTAGCTAGTACCTTTTGAATTGGTTATTTGTAAAAAAATCGATTCAAAAAGTACCTCCCAGAATAGGCGCTAATTCTGGAAGGCACCTATTGAATTAAGGTGAGCTGTTAGCTTCCATATTAATTCTAGAGACTAATTAATGATGTGCATGGCATTATAAATTTGTCAAAACAGAGGTGCGAAAACTCAATCGTAATGGCCTTCTTTTCTTGACAGCTTTCCTGTGCGATAAGAAAAAATATGTCATGCACGAAGAAGTGCCTGTTCCACATTTAAGGCCGAAGACTTCAAGTTTAATTAACTAAGAGGAAATTAGGTTTTGGTTGATAAAATTAATTATATCTTTGATTTGTTTGAATGTGAAACACTGACATACACACTATATAAACTGAGCATTAGCCTCGTATCTTAGTAGTTCACATATAATTCGAAGCATTTCTTAGAATGGCAAAGGGGAGAATGAAAATTTTGTCATTACTATGTGTTTACTTTGTTTCAACTTTAGCGATCGCTAGAAATGTGAGGGATGATAATGAAAAGACAGGGTTGATTGGTAAGGGCGCTAGAATTGGAGGTGGAGTTGGAGGCGGCATCAGCGGTGGTATTGGTGGAGGTGTTGGTGGTAGATTTGGTGGTGGAGCCGGAGGTGGTATAGACGGTGGAGCTGGAGGTGGTATAGGTGGTGGAGCTGGGGGTGGTGTAGGTGGTGGAGTCGGAGGTGGTGCTGGTCATGGATTTGGTGGTGGAGCTGGAGGTGGT